TAAACGGGGCTGCCTTCAGATGTCTTCTAAAAGTCTGGTAGTTGTTCTCTTTGACATCTGGTGGGAGGGCGTTCCACAGGGCGGGCGGCACTACCGAGAAGGCCCTCTGTCTGGTTCCCTGTAGCTTTGCTTCTTGCAATGAGGGAACCGCCAGAAGGCCCTCGGCACTGGACCTCAGTGTCCGGGCAGAACAATGGGGGTGGGGACGCTCTGGCATCTGAAAGTCCCCAGTGTTTCAACCTGCAGTTGAAGGTGTTGCTGCCACCTCCTGCTCCTCTGATTAGGCATGCCTGCCTCTCCAGCTCCCTGGATAAGAGTGGCTGTGATCACAGCTTCCCCACAAGAAGAAGAGCTTGCATAGGAGTCTGATACCTAGGCCATGTTTCTCTGGGTGAAGTGGGGAATAAGTGAGGTTTGAAAGCGGGGTGTGGGGGACTGGGTTTTACAGTCAGTTGGCATGTATGATAATTCCTTGATAATTCCTTGAACTGCAGTGGGGGAGCATTGAATGGAATGCAGGGCACCCATGGAATGTGGCCTAGGACCCACGTACCTATGGGACCGCCTCTCCTGGTATGCCCCGCGGAGGACCTAAGGTCCACAATTGACAACATTTTGTAGGTCCCAGGTCACAAGGTGGTTAGATTGGTCTCAACTAGGGCCAGGGCCTTTTCAGTACTGGCCCTGACTTGGTGGAACGCTCTGTCACAAGAGACTAGGACCCTGCGGGACTTGACATCTTTCCGCAGGGCCTGCAAGACAGAGCTGTTTCGCCTGGCCTTTGGTTTGGACTTGGTCTGACTCTTATGTTTCCCTCCCGTTATGGACTTGATTTATCAGCTACTTTAAAATGAGGCTGCATTTTAAATTGCATTTTAACCTGTATTTTAAATTGGTGGCGTTTTTTTCCTGTTATGCTTTTACTGTAATTTTACTGGTGTTAGCCGCCCTGAGCCTGGCTCTGGCCGGGGAGGGCAGGGTATAAATAAATTATTATTATTATTATTATTATTATTATTATTATTATTATTATTATTATTATTATATTTCACCTGTGGAAATCCTAATTTGTTTTTCGCAATTGCCATCAACCCAGTTTCCTATATCCTTCAATATTTCTCTGATGAAAATAGGGACATCCTATTCTAAAATATTTTTAATTATTTATCCCACCCATCTGATTGAAGTTGCCCCAGCCACTCTGGACAGCTTCCAACGTATATAAAAACATAATAAAAATGTGAACATTTAAAAACTTCCCTATGCAGGGCTGCCTTCAGATGTCTTCTAAAGGTTGTAAAGTTACTTATCTCCTTGTCTCGGGGGTTGCGTAACTCCATATCCTCCAACATTTCTCAAATGAAAATAGGGATGTCATAAGGAAAAGCAGGATATTCTGGGATCAAATCAGAAACCAGGATGGCTTGTGTAAATTTGGGACTATCCCTGGAAAATAGGACACTGGATGGTCTGGTTTCCTCCCATGTCAATATTACTTACACCTTTCCTGAGAGCCAGTGTGGTGTAGTGGTTAAGAGTGGTAGTCTCATAATCTGGGAAACCAGGTTCGAGTCTCCACTCCTCCACATGCAGCTGCTGGGTGACCTTGGGCCAGTCACACTTCTCTGAAGTCTCTCAGCCCCACTCACCTCACAGAGTGTTTGTTGTGGGGGAGGAAGGGAAAGGAGAATGTTAGCCACTTTGAGACTCCTTAAAGGGAGTGAAAGGCGGGATATCAAATCCAAACTCCTCTTCTTCTTCTTCTTCTTCTTCTTCTTATATGTTCGAGGTGGTTTATAGCAGTGTTTGGGACAAGGAGGTCACAATGGGAGTGGTCTGTTTGCAAGAGGAGTTGCAGAAAAGGAGGGAGTGTTGAATAGATGCTTTATGGTAATTTATGGACCGAATAGATATCTAAAGCCATTTGCATGACCAGTCCATGCAGAATGCAGGCACCCTATACATAGAAATGAGCAAACCAGTGATATTTTAGGGAGCAGGCTAGCAGGTGCGGCCCGTTACTTACATCACAGTAGCCTACACAACACAAAACACTGTTGCTGTATGTAGGTTTTATTTTATTTATTTTTTATCTTACATTTTGGAAATGTACATCCAGGTGTTTTTTTCTTTAAATTTTTGGAGGTCCTCAAGAGAGTGGAGCCCTAAGCTATAGCTTGATTAGCTTATATTATCCAGCACTGGGGAGGAGGAAACATGGACATGAGGTTGCAAAATAGACAAGAGAAGTGGCTTCAGAAATGGGGTTGGGAAGGTGAAAGGGGGGCTTAGCAGTTGCATGAGGTGGGATGGGGAATTTTTAGTTCGCATGGGTGGAGCATTAGCAGCACTGCAGTTTGTTACGGTTGTTAAGAGTTACTGAGAGACCCCTGTTCCCCCTCACAGAGCTGGATTTCTCCGGGAAGAAAGATGGATCGTTAAACCGCTGTGAGAACAGGGGTCTCCTGGCAACTTTCAGCAGCCATAGCAAACTACACTTTGCAGGCTTCTCTGGGGGGAGCCATGGCTGTTTAAAGCATTATGGCAAATGGTCGAACCTCACACTCATTTTGTGTAAGTGCAAAGCATTGTCCTGAATGTGAATTGGCTATGTGATAGCTTTACATAGCCAATCTATCCTTCCCTTGGGGATGGAACTGTACGAGGTGATCCATAGGTTTAGTCCCATCTCTGTGATCTTAAAATATCTATACAGTTTATAAAACTACACAAGCTTCATTGCTCATAGCCCAAGGAGATCACAATCCACAATTAAAATAAGAGAGAAAACAGAAATCGATCAACAAAATTTATGGCGGTTTACAAGCAGGAATGCTGCAACATTATCAACCCTACAGCTTAGAAACAAATTAAAGAGGATCAAAACATTTCAGAGATTATACCTAAATATTTAAGGGTTGGGTTTGTTTAGTTTTTTGAAAAGAAGTTCTCTGTGATATTTAATGTCAAACAAAATGATCAGAAGCACAGGAGAATCCCACCACCCAATTGATTTTGATGAAATAACAAGACACTTTGTGAATATAACTGCTGGACAAAACTGAGGGAAAGGGAAAGGTAGCGTAGGTAGATCATTAATGAAAATTAATAAAGCTGACAACAGGACTGCATTTCTTTGTGTATCATAATGCCCACATCTTCAGAGGCTGCTGGAAAATTAACTGAAAACTTTATTGACATGCAGTGCCTTGGGATGTAAGGAGAATATACGACAGGAAAAGTTCTAACTGCTATTATCCTTTCCCCAGTTACCATTGAAATGTCAGCAGTGCTGATTAACCACTGCACATTAATTGGCATGCTTTCTCTATATGCGAATGTACATATTTGTACATTCACACCATTTCTCGCCATTTATTTTGTAATAAATAGTCCAAACAGAAAAACAAATAGAAATCACTAGACATTTACATACAATATGAAGCAAGTCCCTTTATCCTCTGCAACGGTAGCATTTGGCAGATTCAGGAATAAATAATCATTTGTGGTGAGGGTATGCCTTATCAAACATATGCAGATCAGCACTAATTAATGCTAATTAAGGTTTCCTGTCTATCTAGTTGGAAAAACGTCCAAATGTTATGAAATCAGTTAGCATGCCTATTACCCTAATTGTTTTATATGGGATGGATCTTAATTAAAATATGTAAATTGACCTTAATTGCTATATACTAATGGGGGTTCATGTTATCTCTCCAGAAGTGACAAGATGGTGAGTAGGGGTACTTAACCAAATAATTCTATGAAATCCTTAACTAAATGGCCTTTACCCAAAAAATCATTTTTTATTATAAATTGCCAAAAGAACTTATTTACATACAGCATTTTTTTCTAATTTAAGTGTCTTAAAAACACATACATGCATATATAGGTAGGGAGAGAAAAAATGAAAAAGAAGCTTAATTTTGCTTTCCTCCACAGGATGAAGATTCCCTTATAACTTTATGGTTTTGATCTGAAGTGGTTTGATTATAGCATATTATAATATTGGACTCTTAATATTGTCCATATCATTCACTCTGAGTGCCTAGTGGTTGCTCTCTGGCTAGGGTTAGACTCGCTGAAATAAAAGAATGTTTGTTTACTGAAATGAAAATGCTCAAGTTTGCCTGGAGGTTCATTCATTTACGCTCTCTCTCTCTCTCTCTCTCTCAGTTCTATATAAGGTATTTCACTTCTCATTGTGTTAACACATTGGTGTGATCCCAGGCACACATCTAGCTTTGCAACTTTTGTGAATGTATGGCCAATAGACAGCCTTGTCTGTGTCCCCATCTTCAGACACTCAAAGGATAGGTGGGAATTGCCTCTCCTTGTGTATTATATTATTATTACTAAATTTAATAAATCTCTGCACAACAATAACAACAACAACAACAACAGAACATTGAGCTGATAGCATCATTTTACATATTATTAAAACATTAATGGTCATTGTAGGCTTTCCACAAACACGTTTGCGAAATTGATGGGAGAAATTTGCTATCTACTTCCCCATGAAAAGAAAGGGAACCAGGTTGTTACATCAAAGTTATCTCTCTTTACAACACCTATTGCGACCCCTCTAAGCCCAGTTAGTTCCTCTGAAATAGCCACATCCCAGATATGGTTGAACCCAGCCTCAAAGTGGTAGCTCAGTTTGTCTGTGTCTTTAACACCATCCATGGCCTCCTAGGCCCACAGCTTTCTGTATCACACTTTTACCCAGAATCCATTTCTCTCCCTTCCCCTTCTCTGCTGTCTTCCTTGCGTGTGTCAGATTCCTCTTATACATTGCACAGCACCTGGCGAAACAGCAATGCCATAGCTGCATTTTCGCTGTAAGATTAGCAGGCATCTGTTCAGATATATGTGGCAGACTATCCTCTATCACGACATTTCTACATTTTCTCCAAAACCATTTTTTTTCTGCACTACTGTGGTTGATATCTCCTTCTTCTTGTTTAACTTATTTTTTCTCTCTCTCATTGTGTTAATAGGACATTGTAACAAACGTTTCTCCGAGAATAATACGTGGCGTTACCTCAGGCCCCATCTATGGTCCAGGCCAAGGCTCTTTCCTGAACATTGAGCTCATCAGTGAGAAAACAGCGGCCTACTGGTGTAAAAGTGTCTCTGAGCTGAAGATGGACTTCCCTGACAAAGTAAGTTGAGCTTTGATGCAAAGGAAGTTCCCATAGGGGCTGGAGAAGAGGAGTGGAGGTCTAGTCCGAGAGACAGGTGCTCATGGTGCATATATTCATCCTGTTTTCACATCTGGTAAACGGGTTCTGCAGGGTTTTGTGGTTCAGGAACCTGCAAAACATGTTTAACTAGAGGTGAAAGTAGGACAAAAGAAATGTGTTTATGCCATGGACTGCTTGCTTAAAAAAACTATTTTCTTCTCCAGTTCTGTGTGCAAATACATTGTTTGTACAACAGCAAACAGTAATGCATGTAGTGTAGTTGAATGTAGCCAGGCATTCAGTTACAAACTATCCTTATTATAACGGTAAATTTATCACTAAATGAGGATAGATTTTTGCAGCCTGAGTAGAAATCTCTTGGTGCTTATAATAAAATGCTCTGCGTAATTAGGGCTTTTAGGAAGTTTTTTGTTCATATCCCTGAAAAAGCATATAATTCTCGATAGGGTGTGCATTGCTTTTATTTATTTATTTACTTAGACAATACTCAGAAAGTGTTTTTTTTCCTAAATGAACTTAATGAGCAAGTGAATGGCATCCTCTGCTCTATTGAGAGAAAAAGCAGAGATGAGTGTACAAAAGAATATCAACTAGTGATTACAGTAAAGTAAATTATTGTGTTATGGTAAATATTAAAAACAGAAGGAAATTTGATATATAATTGCCTTTGCATTGTAATAGAGGCAGTTTAAACAGTAGGTTCAAAAATCATCATGCTAAGAATTAAGCCTTTGTCACTATCAAAGCAGTTGACAGTGCTTTGAATTGAGGTTTGGTACAAAAGGAATTGTATTCAGATTATCCAAAATATAGCTGCATTAACTCTTATGATTCACATGGCCCTGACGGGAGTTGAGCTGAACAATATAATTTGCAAGGGGCTGATGCTAATTTTCAGATGGGATTCAATTGCACACCATCAAATGCAGGTTGTACAATTAGAGTGGACTTGGTACAACAAGCTCACGCCTTTAAAAAGCCATTTTAGTGGCTAAAGAAAGTGATAGGAAATGCACTGGGAAGTGTGAGACAACAGCTGTTTGACGTGATTTCAGAGAACCTCTCCACTAGGGAATGGATGCATCTGTCAATTTCGGTTTCTTTCAGTTTCTGATTCCAATTTTAAATTCAGTCCTCCACATTTCAGCCACAATTAACATTTAGGGAGAAAAAAACCTCATGAAAATTTGTCAGAATCTTAGTGAGAACAAGAGAAAGAGTAGGTCAAGATGCTCACTGTGGTGACTGTCTGGAGTCTAGTTGCTTTTATCTTCTCCTAAGATACTCAAGAATGATATTATTTGGTTCTCCAGAGCATGCAGCATAGGAAATATGGCCTTGCATTGACCATGTACAGTGGTACCTCAGGTTACAGACGCTTCAGGTTACAGACTCCGCTAACCCAGAAATAGTACCTCGGGTTAAGAACTTTGCTTCAGGATGAGAACAGGATGAGTACGGCGGCGGCACGGCAGCAGTGGGAGGCCCCATTAGCTAAAGTGGTACCTTGGGTTAAGAACAGTTTCAGGTTAAGAATGGGCCTTCAGAACGAATTAAGTTCTTGACCTGAGGTAGCACTGTATTCCATACATAGAGAGACATCACAACTGAACAGGAGGCAGCTGAAAATCTCAAGGCCTAGTTAAAAATAATAATAATTTATTTATACCACACTGATCTGGCTGGGTTTCCCAACATAACAACAACAACAACAACAACAACAAATAATGCAACAAAACATCAAACATTAAAAACTTGCCTGAAATTGGCTGCCTTCAGATGCCTTCTAAAAGTCAGATAGTTGTTTATTTCCTTGACATCTTATGGGAGGGCATTCCACAGGGTGGGTGCCACTACCGAGAAGACCCTCTGCTTGCTTCCCTGTAACCTCACATCTCGCAGTGAGGCAACCGCCAGAAGGCCCTCAGAGCTGGACCTCAGTGTTGGGGCTGAACAATGGAGGTGGAGATGCTCCTTCAGGTATACTGGGCCAAGGCATATAGTTAAGCATGAGCAGAGCTTGCTCACCGCCATGGCAGCCATTGAACAAAGCACAACACTTCCAACTTTCAGGGAAAATCATCAGCTAGAGCCAGGGTGGTGGGTGGATGCAGTACCCCCTTCCTCTGGTGTAGTTCTGTCACCTTCAGTAGGATTGCACAAATGTAAGCAGTCAGTGAATTGGCTCATAATGTCAGTCAATCAATTTTGATGTGCCGGTGTCTGCCAGACCGTCATTGTAATGAATGGAGCACAAGAAAGGGCTTTAGAAGATTGACTATTAATAAAGACATCCACAATGAATACAGCTTTAAAAAAATATCATTGAAAGTGAGTGACAAGTTTCCCTGAGTGTACATAAGCACTTAGTGACCCTTATTCAGTATTTGACAGTGCATGTCGTGGCATTTTAATGGAACATTTGATAAATTAAGCTGTCCTGGAAACAGGGATTTCCTTAGCCAAACAGAACTCTTGAGTAAAGTATATTAGTGATGTTTGACTGACAATTAAATCCTTTCACCATTGGTTCAGGAAATATATTTATTGTCAGTAAATAATGACTTGCTAAGCAAACTAAAAAACATACCACAAGCGCTAAACATTATTAAAAATAAATAAATAGACTGGATAAAGACTGGTACAGGATTGTAGACTTAGGTCACACATAATTTGAGCTGTGGGTTGCCATCACATTTGTGATTACTTCCATACCCCCCTAAGGTGTACATGAGGGGAGTCTTAGTCGTCTAGCAATACATGTCTGTCTATAATAGCCACCAAGTGGATTTATTTATTTATTTGCATATATCACCGATCTAAAGGCAAAAAAGACTGTGGTGAACAATGTAAAATCAACACTAACATACTCATTTTTCAAAAATAATTTTATTAAGAATAGTACAATGAGCTGAAAGCAAAAAGAGAGGGGGAAAGAGAAAGAATACATAAAACATTTTAAAAGGTTGAGGAAAAAACAATAATACGACAGTAAATTATAATTAAGATTGCAGAACTACATAACATGTATGTAAATGGATAAACTTACTGTTTCCCTCAAATGTCCATTGATTCATGGGTCATGGTGGCTTCAGTAAATATGTTCCAAATATCATTAAATTTGTCCATACATAATCTTCGTCTGAAAGCGATCCATTAATGGGTTGCAAGGGCTGTTGTGTCTTCTGTTCATTGATTGAAAGAGGCCATATTTTTGTCCTTCCAATGTATCTAATGATACAGTAACATTACATTCATAAAACAAATGCAAAATGTGTTAATCTGATGTACTGATTTGTGATGGATGCATCAAGACGGTTGGCTCACCCCTCAGGGAAAGCCTGGGTGAAAGGGGGACCTTTAAGTGGGCACCTAAATGCCAATACTGTAGTCCGAAGGGCAGATGTCACCACACTAAAAGGATCTGGCATTAGTGGCCATAAGAAAAACTTTTGGAACCTATGGCACCACTAAGAAAGACTCTTGAGAGGACTGAAGTGGCAGGAGGCGATCTGGTCCCAAGTTGCTCAGGGCTCTATAAACCAAAAGCAAGACCTTAGACTTGACTGGCAGCGTATTGGTAGCTGGCATAACTCTTTCAACACAGAGATAGATAGAACACACCTTGCTGCTGCATTCTGTACTTGCTGTAGCTTCTGGACCACTGTTAAGGGTTGCCCCACACAAAGCACATTGCAACAATCCAATTAATACAATGATGAGTGGGGGTTTTTTGGCATGGTAATTGTAACTATCCTATTGACAACCTAGACCTACAGGCTAAGTTTAATATCACCTTTCTCCAGTGAGCTCTGTGAAAGAATTGGAACTACTGGAATTACTAAAAATTGCCTAATTACAGTTCCTACAATTCACTGTTGTGGCTTTCCCCGGAGAAAGTGGTATAATGTAGATATGCTTCTTGTCATGTAAATATTCCTTTTCAGGAACCTGTGTGTGTATATATGTGTATTGTGTGTGTGTGTGTGTGTGTGAGAGAGAGAGAGAGAGAGAGAGAGAGAGAGAGAGAGAGAGAGCACATATATGTAATTACAGTGCTACTATGAAAAATATATATTTATGGTGTCTGTCAAAAACCCTTTTGTCTTCCATACTCTCTATAACTGGGACTGATATCTAAAATCAACACTTTATTGAGCCATATTTTCATAGCCAAACTATAATATCCTGTCCAGTCTGATGGAATCACAGGTGTTCATTTTATATGAGATGTTTAGGTTCTCGAGCGAAGAACCTTGAAGCTGGAAAGGAAGTGTGCGCTATCTCGAAATGACGAGAGTGTCTAAGTAAATGTGTAGTTGAATGTCTGGAGTTGTGTTTCTCTCTCTCTCTCTTTTAGAAAGAAGGCCATAAACTATACCTGTAAAGTATCAGTTTGCACTCCTGAATGAGCCATTCTGCCTTATTGACTGTCTGTGATTCATTAGCAGGAAGATGCATTACAATTTATTGGCATGAAACACTGCGATTTGAGATCACAGGAAGTGCAACATTACGCACACCCTGGGCAGAAATGCATATAGGATACACATTGTATTTTTTTCTAAGGCAGGGAGGGGATTATGTCAAGGTCTTGTGCGCGAGAGAAGTAAGGGCTCCACTTCCCAAGTGTTCTGTGGATTTACCTTCAGTTGTGCAGAATGGCCGTCTTTCTCTCCACCCCATGCCTTTGTGTTGCTGAAATAGCTTTTTATGAAAAATGCTATAGTCAATAGTACAAAACAGTAACGCACATTGGAGATTTGTATCTTCAGTAAGAAGCATCCTTTGCTTAGAGCGCAAGACATTGGTCCTATTAGGAAGGAACGCATTTCACAATTTTATGAGGATGATAAGCACATCTTGAAGACGTTGCCCCAAGGTGTAAAGTAGGAGAAAATTAAAGCTGTTTCTGAAATAATCTGCCAGGCCTCTTCCGGAAAATGAGCTGAGAGCTT